AGCCTCCCAAGCAGCTGGGATTACAGGTGTGCACTACCACACCTGGCTAATTTTTGTATTTTTGGTAGAGATGGGGTTTCACCATGTTGGCCAGGATAGTCTCAAACTCCTGACCTCAGGTGATCTGCCTGCTTTGGGCTCCCAAAGTCCTGGGATTACAGGCGTGAGCCACTGGGCCCAGCCTAAAACATGATTTTTACTTTAGAACAAATGACTAATATCAAACTGTCAGTCAAACTTATTCAGAGTTAGGTATTTGGTAGATTTTTATCCTCCAAATGAGTAAGTTTTGAGCTTTCAAAGCAAAAAATTAGAATTTCAAAAAACTTCCGGTTACCTCCATGAGCTTGGCAGTATTCTATACTCAAAGACTGTTAATGATATTAGTGGTAATATTTGCATGATGTGATTTTAGATAGTATATAATAAAATGTGTCAACATTTTTAATATCTGCATACCTCAGTGAGACCACTATTTTCCAAATCCATGCTGTTAAAAACCATGCATGGATTAAAAAGTATTTATTCAAAGTGTAAAACTGACCAATGGATTTTAATATAAGAGTACAAAACTTTCTTGATATGGCTTCAGAGTCCACATTGCACCTAAACATTAAGAAATTAACATTTGTCAAATTGTGGCATAGAATTAAAGAATATCCACAATTATCTAAAAAGTCTATTGAAATATTCCTTTTTTCCAAATACACAACTGTGTGAGGCCAGATTTTCTCCATATTCTTCAATTAAAACAACACATGACCACAGACAGCACGCAGAAGCAGATGGGAGAATCCTATTGTCTTCTATTATGCCAGCCATTAAAGATTTGCAAAAATGTAAAAACAACACTACTCTGGCTATTTTTTAGAAAATTTTTTCGCTGGGTGCGGTGGCTCAAGCCTGTAATCCCAGCACTTTGGGAGGCCGAGGCGGGTGGATCACGAGGTCAAGAGATCGAGACCATCCTGGTCAACATGGTGAAACCCCGTCTCTACTAAAAATACAAAAAATTAGCTGGGCATGGTGGCACATGCCTGTAATCCCAGCTACTCAGGGGGCTGAGGCAGGAGAATTGCCTGAACCCAGGAGGCGGAGGTTGCAGTGAGCCGAGATCGCGCCATTGCATTCCAGCCTGGGTAACAAGAGCGAAAACTCCGTCTCAAAAAAAAAAAAAGAAAATTTTTTCACAAAATCTGTTTTGTTAACATATAATGAATTTGTGATTGTTACTTTTTTTTTTTAGACAGGGTCTTTGAAGGGTTTTGATTTGTCACCCAAGCTGGAGTGCAGTAGCGAGATCATAGCTCACTGCACCCTCAAACTCTGGGGCTCAAACGATCCTCCTGCCTCAGCCTCCCAAGTAGCTGGGACTACAGGTGCATGCCACCATGCCCAGCTTTGTAGTTACTATTTTTAATAAATTGATAAATATTTTAAATGATTTCTAATCTATACTCTTCTCTTTCCATTGTCTTCGAGTTAGATGCTGTAAACAGATTTGTCTACTCTCTCATTTATTTATTCAGGGTGATGGTAGTGTTCTATTATCCCAGAAGTGTGGGGAGCAGAAGGCAATGGAAGACAGGGTGATTAGTATCTTCTGGAAAATGTGTGTACACTCATGTAGATGATGTAATGTCTTTGGAACATTTTTTGGTTGGGTTTCGTGTTTCCCAAATTGCTATCTTCAATTCAAAGCTCTCTCATTCACTTAACAAATATTTATTTAGTGTCAGCAATGTGCCAAGCAGTGATTATCCAATGGTCTTCACAACATGTCTCCTTGGATGTCTAGCGGGCACTGCAAATTCTGAACCACCCATGCTAACCTCATGTTTCCTCTCAACAGCTCCTCTTCCCATGCTCCTGTCACACTGACTGCTGCCCAGAGTCACCCTGAGGCTCGGGCCAAACATCCGGGCATTCTCCTCGCCTGTCCTTTCTCCCTTCCTCCGACCCACCCTCAAGTCCTGGAAAATCTGCCTTTTTAATATCTCTCAAATGTTCTACTTTTCTCCAACTACCCTCATTCAGACTTCCTTTATCCCTCACTAACTTATTAGCAACAGCCTTCAAACTGTTCTCTCTCGTCCTACCTTAGCTCTTTCTCCTCCGTGTCCCACACTGCATGGGGCCCAGCAATCCTTGACAGCATGTCATTAAAAGGGCTGGGGTTCAATCATCTCCATTTCACAGATGAGAAAAACAAGGCTGTGGAAGCTAAATAACTTCCAAGTGATATTTATTTATTTATTTAGAGACGGAGTCTTGCTCTGTCGCCAGGCTTGAGTGCAATGGCATGATCTCGGCTCCCTGCAACTTCTGCCTCCCGGGTTCAAGCGATTCTCCTGCCTCAGCCTCCTAAGTAGCTGGGACTACAGGTGCCCACCACCGCACCCAGCTAATTTTTGTATTTTTAGTAGAGACGGGGTTTTACCATGTTGGCCAGGCTTGTCTTGATCTCTTGACCTCATGATCCGCCTGCCTTGACCTCCCAAAGCGCTGGGATCGTAAGCATGATCCAACACGCTCGGCCCAAGTGATAGATATTAAAGACAAAGCAGATAAGATCACACCCTTTGTTTAACCTCTAAGGGCATTAATTCTAAAGATAAAATACAAGCTCTTCAATAAGGCATGTGTGCGTCCTCCATGCCTAACCATCCCCTCCTTTGTGCCCTATGCTGCTCTCATTACCAGGCTTTAAAAAAATACCTGTTACTTCCTTTGCCTGGGCCACTCTTCTCCCCGCAGACTGAGCTGAGCTGTATCTTTCTTCAGGAACCCTCCCCTGACTCCCTAAGACTGGGTGAGGCGCCTTGCTTATGGTTCACATGGCAACCTGTCTTCAGTCTAACGGCAGTAGCACCTATCACACCATTTTTAAAATTTTGTATTCCCCTACCCCTTCAGGGAGAACCTGTAACACATTTAGACTATTGTCACATTCTGCATTTCCCAGTGGGAAATGCAGAATGTGACATGTAGATGATGTAATATCTCTGGAACATGACTTGACTTCCTAAATTTTTTTCTTGATTTTCATATATTAGGTCAAGTCTTTGTGCTGTGAAGTTCTTCATCACCCGCCCACCAATACTGTGTCATACAGAATCGTTTCACTGTCTGCAAATTACCCGGTGGGTCCATCTCCCCCAACGCTCCCTCCCCTGCGCCATGCCACCATTTAACTGCCTATGGACTTGACAAGCTCTCTCTCTTGGGTTCAAGATCCACTCTGTTTAACCTGGTGTCCCCAGCCTGAGACAAAATGCCCAGCACTCTGAGGATACTCTACAAGGATCTGTGGAATGCAAGAATTACAAACTTGAAGTGCACTAACAGGTTACACCTTGTCCCTGAGTGGCAATGTCGCCGGTGAATGAGTAGCTCTGATGCCCACAGCAGCCCTTTCCACAGCTCCAGTTTGCTCCCCAGCCCCCAAGGCCCCACTCTGTTGTCCCTTCCTGGATGGCATGTGTTTGTCCAAATGGGTGTAGCCCTGAGATGACTAAGTCACTCAAACGCCTGCCGGGCTCGGGCAGGACTCGTGACAGGAATTGCTGCCCAAGCAATGGAAAAGGGGACCAGCCCCTTGGGGAAGGGATGCTGCCTACCAGGAAACTACACGCAGCAGAGAAGTGGGAGCTCTGAAAAGCTTGAGTTGGGAAGCCCCACCTTTAAACCAACCTGCTTACTTGTCAGGTTTTCATTTCTGTTCTTTTTTTTTTTTTTTTTTTTTGAAACGGAGTTTTGCTCTTGTTACCCAGGCTGGAGTGCAATGGCGCGATCTCGGCTCACCGCAACCTCCGCCTCCTGGGTTCAAGCAATTCTCCTGCCTCAGCCTCCTGAGTAGCTGGGATTACAGGCACATGCCACCATGCCCAGCTAATTTTTTGTATTTTTAGTAGAGACGGGGTTTCACCATGTTGACCAGGATGGTCTCGATCTCTCGACCTTGTGATCCACCCGCCTCGGCCTCCCAAAGTGCTGGGATTACAGGCTTGAGCCACCACGCCCGGCCTCTTTTTTTTTTTTTTTTTTTTCTTTGAGACAGAGTCTTACTCTGTCACCCAGTCACCCAGGCTGGAGTGCAGTGGCACAATCTCAGTTCACTGCAACCTCTGCCTCCCAGGTTCAAGTAATTTTCCTGCCTCACTTTCCCGAGTAGCTGGGATTGCAGGTACACGCCACCATGTCCAGCTAATCCTTTTGTATTTTTAGTAGAGACGGGGTTTCACCATGTTGACCAGGCTGGTCTCCAACTCCTGACCTCAAGTGATCCACCCACCTAAGCCTCCCAAAGTGCTGGGATTCCAGGCATGAGCCACCGCGCCCGGCCTTAAGTGTCAGTTTTAATACTAAAAGTCCAGCATCACCACAAGGCTGCAAATCAAGGCACTCTCTGTGTACTGCTAGGCAGGCTGGGTGAGGACTTGGCCCTGAAAGTCTAGTCCCTGCTTGGAAATCTGCCTTTCTAGCTCCGATGACTTTAGAAGGAGTTGGGAGAACTCCAGAGCCGTGGGTGGAGGGAGAAGCTCCTGATAAGCGAACCGTCAGAGCCTCAACAATGGCTTCCTCTGTGCAGCTGGGCTGTGCACCTGGTGCCTGCACAGGGCCCTCTGTGCTTTTGTCCTTCCGCACACAGTAATGTCCACACACAGACGAGACTTATAAATACCCTCCAAAGGAGAAGTGAAATTACTGACCAGTTCTCCTTTTCTCTGCTTAGCCGGAGCCCAGCAGCCGAGAGCAACTGGTATACACTCACATTCCCCAGTAGAGCGGCTCAACCTGCTTTCATTATTTTATGGTTGGGAAGGTTTTGGCAAACATCCTGTTTTGGATGAAATGGGACTCAGACTGACTCTCAAGGGCTAAATTTACTGCCTAGAAACTTCACGCAAATGAAGAGAAAGCAAAGGAAAGGACAGGGCCGATGAGAGCACCATTCACAGAAACAGAACACTGGAGTCTTTGGGAAGTGAGCATTTTACCTGCACGTAGAAGGTCCTGGAGTTTGTTATTATTTCAAACAGGTTGTCCCTCATTAAGAGATCACTAGACGGAGAAAGAGAAAGAACGTTACGGCGGCTGGCATACACATGGAGGATCAATATGTCCGAAGTTAAGACTCCAATGCCCTCGACCATAAAGAAAGAAGATGCTTGGCAGGGGTGGTTCCCAGCCATTCTTCTTCCAGCTCCTGCCTTGAAATCAATACTCCAGGGGTTTCTTCATTTCCTAGAGGGTCTCAGGAGGCTCTGCCACCCAGATGGACCCTCCCCGGCCCCCTCTCCCACCAGCAGTTCTAACAAGCTCTTTTCCCTCCAAAATCTCCTGCCTAATATCCAACCCCCCGCCCCCCACCGACCATCTCCTACCGTTTCCTTCCTGCCGGCCTCCCAGCCTCCCTCCCCGCCTCCCTCTAAGGTGTATGAGGTGCTTTGTGGGAAGCACCATTTTGGGTGCTTTTTTATAGATTATTTTATCTAATCTTCACAATAGTCTCGGGGAGCACTTCAGACTTTCCCCATTTTACAGATGAGGAAACCCAGACCCACACTCAGAGTCAGAGCTTAAATGACTTCTCCAAGTTGCTGGAGATTTGGAACCCAGGTCTGACTCCAGAGTTTCTGCTTTATTTATTTGTTTTTTTGAGACAAGGTCTGGCTCTGTTGCCCAGGCTGGAGCCCAGTGGTGCAATCATGGCTCACTGGGACTACAGGTACATGCCACCACTTCTGGCTAATTTTTGTATTTGTTGTAGAGACAGGGTTTTCCCATGTTGCCCAGGCTGGTCTTGGACTCCTGAGCTCAAGCAATCCGCCTGTCTCAGCTTCCGAAAGTCCTGGGATTACAGGCACGAGCCACTACACCCAGTGAGCCTATGCTTTTAATTACTCCACTGCCACTGGCCTCTCCTAAGGGAGCCAACTCTCCATTCCCTAAACCATCTCCTCCACCCACGTGGCAGCTCTATCGGCTTCACTCAGCTCCTGCTCCCTGCCTCACTGTGCGGGGCCCAGGAGACAAAGAGCTCAAAGAGGGGAAAAGCCAGGGAAGAGGAGACGACTTTAGAACACTTCTTTAGGGGACACTACTGGGTGTGGGTTTTGGAAAAGAAATCCTGACTTCTGCAAGGAAGAGGGCGGGAAGTAGCTGATGCTCAGTGTCAAACCTCAGAGCAGCCCAAGGTATTTTCCAGTGTTAAACGTCTTCTGCGTATAGCCCCTGCCACTTCGGGGAGTACATTAGGAGTAAAAGACCTAATTCCCACCCAGTGAAAGAACATGAGGGCTCATGCCTGTAATCCCAGCACTTTGGGAGGCCAAGGTGGGCAGATCACTTGAGTTCTAGGCCAGCCTGGGCAACATGGTAAACCTCGTCTCTATAAAAAAAATACAAAAATGAGTAGGGTGTGGTGGCGCACATCTATAGTCCCAGCTACTCGGGAGGCTGAGGTGGGAGGGTCACCTAAGCCTGGGAGGCAGAGCTTGCAATGGACTGTGATTTAACCACTGCATTGCAGCCTGGAGAACAGAGCAAGACTATCCCCCCTCCCAAAAAAAAAAAAACCACACACACACACAGGAAGCAAAACTGTAATACCAGATGTTCGATTGTGTGTTGTATGCCAAGAGTTGGAAAGGACTGATCACAGGTGGAGTTGGCTTCATGAATGAGAAAGCCAGCAAGTAAATGGCAGGGGCTGGGCCAGTGCCACGGGTACCTGGGCAAAGGAGTGGATGAGACCAGAGACCCATGAGAGAGAACAACAGGACAGGGGCCAGACAGTCCTGGGGCGAATCCTGACTACACGTAGGAAAGAGACCTTTGAGAATGTTGTAAAAACTTAGGAAGCCTTTGTGATGCCAAGTGTAAAACAGAGATAAATGAGAGGGCCCCCTTTATCGGGCTGGTCACTACAAAGACCAGTTAGTTATAAAGTACAGAAGGCATCCGGCATGATGTGTGTCACAGAATAATTACTTGAAGCACATTTCACCAACTATAATTACTTTCTGTGTTTTGGAATAAAAAATGGCTCTTTCGCCAGGCACAGCGGCTCACATCTGTAATCCCAGCATTTTGGGAGGCCGAGGCAGGTGCATCATCTGAGGTTGGGAGTTTGAGACCAGTCTGACCAACATGGAGAAACCCTGTCTCTACTAAAAATACAAAATTAGCCCGGCATGGTGGCACATGCCTGCAATCCCAGCTGCTTGGGAGGCTGAGGTAGGAGAATCGCTTGACCTTGGGAGACAGAGGTTGCAGTGAGCCAAGATCACACCATTGCACTCCAGCCCCGGCCACAAGTGTGAAACTCTGTCACAAAAAGAAAAAAAGTCTCTTTCTGGCTAAAATGCCTTAACCTTTCAAATTCTACTCATGCATAGCCAGTAAAGTCACATAAACAACTACCGAGGAGGTGAAAGAAAAGCAGGTGGGAAATCCCCACGCCTTTCACATCCACTTCTCAGGGTGGGAAGGGCGCGAGGCGGGTGAGGCCACGCACTGGACACCGTGGATACTGCTGCAGACGGGTGCACCACAACCTCAGAAATCAGCACTGAAGAGCTCTTCCATGCAACCAAACACCACCTGTTCCCCCAAAACTACTGAAATTTAAAAAAATTAAAAATCTAAAAAAAAAAAAAGTTAAAAATTTAGATGAAGGTTTGCTCTTGTTGGCCAGGCTGGAGTGCAATGTCGCAATCTCAGCTCACTGCAATCCCCGGCTCCGGGATTCAAGCGATTCTCCTGCCACAGCCTCCCAAGTAGCTGTGATTATAGGTGCCTGCCATCACACATGGCTAATTTTTTGTATTTTTAGTAGAGACAGGGTTTCGCCATGTTGGCCAGGCTTGTCTTGAACTCCTGGCCTCAGGTGATCCTCCCACCTCAGCCTCCCAAAGTGCTGGGAGTGGATTATAGGTCTAAGCCACCGTGCCTGGCCTAAAAAGATACATCTTTTTTTAAAATGACACAAGGCTACATGGTGCCTTTCAACTCAATTCAATTCACGTGAACAAATATTCACTGATTATCAAGATGTCCTAAACCCCAGGACTGGGTTCCAGGGCGGCCAAACAGTCTAATAGACCTGGAAGCCCCGGAGGCCTAAGGACCTTCCTTCCCTGCTAGTCCCTGACTTCTTTAACTCAGTTCAGTGTGACGCTGGCAGAGTTAGAGTCAGGGAAAGTTCAAGGCACTCTCAGGATTTAATAGTAAGTTCCTTATGGTTCTCTAAGCTTCTCCAGTGTGCCCAGGTGGTCTCACATCTGCAAGGGCCCTCCAGGATCCGGTACAATCAAGGCTCCCACCATGCCAAACTTTCCTCTGCCTACTTCTGGAGCCACACTTACGGAATTTCCATCTATAGCTACTTTCATAAATTACAAATTGTCACTGGGAACCACCCCCCCCATCTTCTGTACTCTGCAACTGCCATTTGCAAGACTTAGGAGAGTGCTTCTGTCCCTGCCTCCCTGGGTAACACAGCATGTTGTTTTCATGCAAGACTGTTCATGCCTTCATGGGAGAAGAGTCAGCCTGCTGTGAACAGCTTTCCTGATGTCTGCAGGCACAAGCCGTGAGACACAGAAACACAAACATGCAGTCTTACTGCAGATTGGTGGCCAGGAAGAGGGTTTCTGGATGCCCTAATACCCTTGGGGTCTCTAAAATTTAGGGTTTTTTTGTGTGTGTTTTTTGTTTGTTTGAGACAGAGTTTCACTCTGTCGCCCAGGCTGGAGTGCAAGTGGCATGATCTCGGCTCACTGCAACCACCGCCTCCCGGGTTCCAGCGATACTCCTGCCTCAGCCTCGCAAGTAGCTGGGACTACAGGCATGCACCACCACACCCAGCTAATTTTTGTATTTTTAGTAGAGATGGGGTTTCACCACATTGGCCAGGCTGGTCTCGATCTCCTGACCTCATGATCTGCCCACCTCGGCCTCCCAAAGTGCTGGGATTACAGGAGTGAGCCACCATGCCCGGCCTAAAGTTTAGTTCTATAGGCATCTGTATTAGGTGTTGGATCTGGAAGATCCCTTGCCAAGTCCCAAACTCATCCTATGCAATGTGGCACTTGGAAGTTAACCATTTCCTAGTAGACAGAGGAATAGCTTTAAAATACCTGTTCTTCCTTCCCCATGGCAGTAACACAGAGATGCTATGAATCACCCTTGTGTTAATGGGACATCAGGGTCAAAAGGAGGAGAAAAGGCATAAGAAGGTCAGGGAAGAGGCACTGGTACAGTGATATGCTCAGAAGCACTGAGGTCAGAGGCATGGCTCTCCTCTGAGCCTGAGTTGTGCTAGGGATTGAGCATCTAATCCTAGTAGCTGAGAAACATCGGAGCCCCACTCTTTGTTTCTTTTTTCTTTTTTTTTTTTTTAAATAAAGATGGGGTTTCACCATGATGGCCAGGCTGGTCTTGAACTCCTGACCTCAGGTGATCCAGCCACCTCGGCCTCCCAAAGTGCTAGGATTACAGGCGTGAGCCACCACGCCCGGCCTTTTTTCTTTTTTTCTTTCTTTCTTCTTTTTTTTTTTTTAATAAAGACCCACTCTTTGTTTCTATGTCCTTTCTTTTTGGCCACCAAAAACTATTACAGAGGCTTGTCTGCTTGGGAGCCAGAGTAAGGTATGGGAAGAGGGCAAGCGTGCCCAGGGCAGTCTCCTCCCTGGTTGGCTTGGATGCATTGAGCCAGCTACAAGGTGCTGGTTGGGCTCCTGCACCTGGCTCCTGGAAGAACATAACTTGTGCATAGAGTCTCTAAAAGGTAGTAAAGGGAGATTTAAGAGGACAAATGGAGGTTTGGATCTGAAAAGAAAAAGCAGACACAATTACCCAGACTTGACCAGACATTCATGGGTCTTGAGAACGTCCTTAAGAAATATAGTACGCAGTGGTTCTCGGTCCTGGTGGAAAGAACAGACAGACAGGTAAGTGAGGCTGTCTGTGTCATATCATGACCCAGACCAGCTGATCAACACCGCTTTCTCAGAGATGGTTGGCTCAAATCAGGTTGACAAACACCCTGGTCTCAAAATAATCAGCAAGAGAAAAAGAGAAAATCTGGCTGGGCAGTGTAGCTCATGCCTGTAATACCAGGACTTTGGGAGGCCAAGGCAGGAGGACTGCTTGAGGCCAGGAGTTCAATATCAGCCTGGGCAACATAGTGAAACCCTGTCTCTACAAAAAATAAAAGAAATTAAAAATGATCTGGGTGTGGTGGCACATGCCTGTCATCCCAGCTAATTGGGTGGCTGAGGTGAGAGGATCGCTTGAGCCTTGGGAGGTCAAGGCTGCGGTGAGTTATGATGGCACCACTGTGCTCCAGCCTGGGTGACAGACCCTTTCTCCAAAAACAAGAAACAAGAAAAAAAATCTAAGAAGATGATGCTGCGTGGCTGTGACTCTGGCCACACCACAGCTCACTGAAGAGGACACTTTACTGTCACTGTCAAGATGTGTGCACAGAGTGGATGGAGATAAGACAGAGGCGCCTTTGAAGTCTCTGTGTGCCCACATCTCCACTCACGCATGCTCTCCTGTGGGTGTGCATCTGTGCACTTCTTAGTTTCCATGACCTCTCAGAAGGACAGCAAAGCTACTACAAACCTGTTCACACTTGAAGTAGCAGATGGTAAAGTCATCAAGTGCAAAGAAGCGACGTTTCCAGCTCTTCCGCTGCAATAAAAAAATAAAGGACGGAACGTTAGCGAGAGGTCCCCAGCATTGTGGAGGGTGTTCTAATGCTAAGCTCCCAGGCACCCAGCCCCATGGAAATCGGGCTCCCATGTTTATCAGGGACAAGGGCTTCTTCATATTAGGGACAATACCTCTGACAGGTAAGGGCCAATGGTCAGTCCCAAAATCTCACCCTTGAAGGTAGAGGCACTATGGAGGACTTGAGGCACCTCCTGTCCATCTCCTCTCCCCTCTGCTATGTCTACAGCCACTAGCTCTGAGGAATCACAAGAATCCCATTCCAGCCCCTGTGCGGACACTCACCACGTTCCCTTGCTTCACACAGTAACCACTCTTAATGAGGGGAGGCCCGGTGGAAGCACGGCAGCCTGATGTGGGGATGTAACTCTGAGACCTTCGAAGGATGGCGTGGGACCCAGGCTCACTCCCTTCCTGTCCCTCCCCACCGTTCTGCAAGGAAACAGTGTCAGGATCAGCACCTCCCTCCCTCTATGCAGCCGCACCCCCACCCACCTCCCTCTGCCTGAAGAATCTCTCGCCTCTTTGCCCTAAGTCAAAGAAGAAATAAATGATGGGCACAGTGTCTCATGCCTGTAATCCCAAAACTTTGGGAGGCCAAGGCAGGAGGATCACTTGAGCCCAGGAGTTTGAAACCAGTCTGGGCAACACAGTGAGAACCAGTCTCTACAAAAAAATTTAAAATTGTTTAAAATTTTTTTTAAATTTTGATCTTAAAATTTAAAAATTTTAAAGCCAGGCATGTAGTCCCAGCCGACTTCTGGGCTGCAGTGAACCATGATTACACCACTGCACTTTAGTCTGGGTGACAGAGCAAGACTCTTGTCTCTAAAAAAATTAAATAAGAACATGGCAAAACCCCATCTCCATCAAAAAATACAAAAAAATTAGCCGGGCATAGTGGCACCTGCCTGTGGTCCCACTTGAGCCTGGGAAGGCTGAGGTGGGAGGATTGCCTGAGCCTAGGAAACAGAGGCTACACTGAGCCATGATTATGTGGATCTGCACTTCAGCCAGGGCAGCAGAGTGAGACCCTGTTTCAAAATACAAATTAACTAAATCAAATAATTAAAATAGGAATATAAATCTTTCTTTTGCTCTGTCATGCACTCAACTGGGTACTTTCACACAGCCAGCATCAGGGAGGTTGGGCTGACCCAGGAGAAAGGGAAGGATAGAGAATGCGAACCAGGAGGGACACTGGGCTGGTTTCCAGCCTCATTCACCTTCCTCTGTCCCATTTCCTGTGGATTTCACAAGAGCTCATCTCCTGTGTCTCCTGTGCACGGGCCACATGGCTTCAAGATGCAGTGACAGCTGGGCACAGTGGCTCACGCCTGTAATTCCAGCCCTTTGGGAGGCCAAGGCGAGTAGATCACCTGAGGTCAGGAGTTCAAGCCCAGCCTGGACAACATGGTGAAACACCACCTCTACTAAAAATACAAAAATTAGCCAGGTGTGGTGGCACATGCCTGTAATCCCAGCTACTCAGGGGGCTGAGGCAGGAGAATCTCTTGAACCCGGGAGGCGGAGGTTGCAGTGAGCCAAGATCACGCCATTGCACTCCAGCCAGGGCAACGCAGAGAGACTCCATCTCAAAAAAAGAAAAAGAAAAAGATGCAGTGGGCTCCACTTCTGCACTGCCGCCACTAACGGCCATGAATGGGGATGTAACGTGTCCTGTCCTTTCCTGATGGCTCTACCAGCACCAGCTCCCCAACTCCCACCCTCCCTTCCGCAGTACAGTGCTGCGACCACATCACGGGCACACCATGGACACTTCTACACCCCCACTCCCGCCGCAGCCCCAGTCAGGCCCCTCACCTGGCTGATGGGTGTGTGGACCACCACCCCTCCGATGATCTCTGTCTTATAGGCCACCTGTGGCTTCTTCTCCAGGGCTGGAGGAGCTGCTAAGCTCTTGAAAACTTCCGTGGTCACAGGCAGGCCCCCACCTTTGGGTACCTGGGGAAGCAGCAGCAACAGTCAACGGGGAACAGAAGGTTTAGGAAACGTGGGGAGCCCAAAGCAGAATGGAGGTGCTGTAAGAAAAGCTAATGTACCAATTATAGTCAGACATCCATGTCCTTCCCAGGCCTTCCACAGTCCAAATGCAAATATGAGCGGCTCAGCCAGCAAATCCCTCTCCACACACAGATACAAACTGACTCCAGGAATTTCTTGAGTACCTACTATGAGCCAACCCTTCCCTGGCTAGAAACCAAAGATAAAGTGTCAAGTGAAACACACATGGGTCCCCACCCTCATGGCACTTACATGCTAGTAGGGAGAATAACCAAAAATATATATAAAACAGAGTGATTACAAATGGTGGTGAGTGGCACCAAAAATGTCACGGGAGCTGAGGCAGCGCACAGCAGGGACCTGCTGGAAACGGAGTGGGCAGGGAGGTGTCCAGAGAAGGAGACAGGGAGATGCTCAAACGGTAACCTGGAGGATGAACAGAAGCCTGGGGCCAGGTCCAAGGCCTCACACCTGTACTCCCAGCACATTGGGAGGCCAAGACAAGAGGGTCACTTGAGCCCAGGAGTTCAAGACCAGCCTGGGGAACATAGTGAGATCCTGTCTCTACCAAAAATGAAAAAAATTAGCCAGGTGTGGTAGCACATAGCTGCTTAAAAGGCAGAGGTGGGAGAATCTCTTGAGCCCAGGAGTTGGAGGCTGCAGTGAAATACAATCTCACCACTGTACTCCAGGCTGGGTGACAGAGACTCTGTCTCAAAAAATAATGAACGAATGAATGAATGAATGAATGAAAGAAACTGGGAACACGAAGCTGGGGGAAGCCATTCTGAGCAGATGGAACTGGTAAAATCCATGCCTATGAAGGGACAGAACAAGGGGTCTGTGAAGTCTGGAGCCAGAAGGCGTGTGGTACAACCCTTGACCTCTCACAAACCACCTGCGCGACCTTTGGCAAACCATCAAATCTCTCTAGGCCTAAACCATCTCATGCATAAAACGGAAAGAATAATAAAATTTATTGTAAGCATTGTTGTGGTTACCAAATGATAGAGTATATTAAGCACTTTAGAAACACAACTAAAAAGAAAAACGTATTACAAAACATTTTAATTAAGGCTTCCCAGGTGGTAATAATAATTATACACAGAGCCCTTTTAGAAGAATGAGTTATCAGCCAGGCACGGTGGTTCAAGCCTGTAATCCCAGCACGAAGGAGGCCAAGGTGGGCAGATCACCTGAGGTCAGGAGTTTGAGACCAGCCTGGTCAACATAGTGAAACCCCGCCTCTACTAAAAATACAAAAAAAAAAACAAACCAAAAACAAAACAAAACAAAAAAACCAGTAGCCAGACACCATGGTGCATGCCTGTAGTCCTAGCTGCTTGGGAAGTTGAAGCTGGAGAATCAGTAGAACCCAGGAGGTGGAGGTTGCCGTGAGCTGAGATCACGCCACTGCACTCCAGCCTGGGCACAACAAAGCGAGAGACTCTATCTCAAAAAAAGAAGAATGAGTTATTTGTATTCTTCCTTCACATAGATATGGTACCACAGCCAATCAAATCATCATAGAATTTGTATGGTTAGTTGGAAATCACAGGCCAGAGGTTGCAAATTGTTGGCCCACCAACTGACTTTGCCCAAACAATGTTTTGTTAGTCTCATGCAGTGTTTTTGCCAATCTGCATCTAAATTTTGGGATATTTCACAGAAAAATCCAGAATTTCAGCTATGTAGCAGTTCTCTCTTAGACAGAAAATACATTCTGTGTTTGCACAGTCCATACTATTCTCCCCAGCAGAACGGGAGAGGCCAGGGGTCAGACGGTGCTTAACCTCATTCCTGTTGCCACGTTTCTTCCTCCTTGCCCACTTCATTCATTTATCTGCAAATGCTGAGGAAATCTTACATTTCGTAAGAAAGAAAGAAAAAAAAAGAGGCCCAGAACAGTGGAGTCATTTGCCCAAAGCCAGGATCAACAGCTGAATGTCAGCCAGGTGTGGTGGCTCATGCCTGTCATCCCAGCATTTTGGGAAGCCTAAGCAGGCGGATCACCTGAGGTCGGGAGCTCAAGACCAACCTGACCAACGTGGTGAAACCTTGTTTCTACTAAAAATACAAAAATTATCTGGGCACAGTGGCAGCTACCTGTAATCACAGCTACTTGGGAAGCTGAGGCAGGAGAATCGCTTGAACCCGAGAGGCAGAGGTTGCAGTGAGCCGAGATCACACTCCAGCACAATTGCACTCCAGACTGGGCGACGGAGTGAGACTTCATCGCAAAAAAAGCAAAACCAAAACAAAACAAAAAACAGCTGAACGTCTACTAGACCCTGACTTTCTACTGGAGTCCCCGCATCACAGTGCCCATCTTCAGGAAAACGCAACACCCTGCGTCTATCTGCCGGGACATCACTGGGACCTCATGAGAAAAGGTAAAGTCCTCTTCCACTTCTTCTACAGCTTTGAGAGTCAGACAGGCCTAAGGATCCCGACCCCTTCAAGAGCTTGGAGCTACATGAGAGCCCTGTTATTTGGTGTCTGTTCAGAATGCACCCTGATTATGCTGGGTCCCCACAAAGATGAGACCTTCTCTTCCTGGACTACACACTTGGTTTACATAGACAAGGATGTCCTCTGCCCCCTCCCTACTTCTCCAAATCAGGCCAGAAATTCCACCTCTATTTTCCTTCTGGCTGAGAGATGCCAGCAGTTAGTTTCTTCAGGCCTCCATTCACTGTCAGGCAATGCACTGATAAGCGTCTTTGCTTCGTTATCACTAATCTTATCAACTAGGCATGATTTTCTCCACTTTATAGATGAGGTCAACCCAAGCTCATTAAACTTAAGTGATTTGGCCCCAGGACTGCCTGACTCCTTGTTGCTGCATGTCACCACCTACTTAAGCTACCCTTTCTAATTTTCTGTGAGTTTTGTTATTATGTAACCACATTTTTAGGGATGTTGATTTTTGCGGGGATATTTAGTGACAAAATCACCATGGAACTGCAGGAATTTCCCCTAAATGACCCAGATGAATTCCTGAAACCCAGCAAAGAAGGAGGGAAGTAACTTTTTAGAGTTCCCAGTGGCCAGAAAAGGAGGCACAGAGCTTGGCTGCTGCGTTTCCTCTCAAAATCCCGAAGGCCACTGTTTGTCACCCCTTACGCTCCTGTGCCATGCACTGCTTCAGATCCACAGGCAGACCCTTTCCAAAGCTGCTTCCGCTTCCTGAGACTTCTTTAAGATATAGGGTTTTACTCCGTGGCTCAGGCTTAAGTACAGTGATGCGATCATAACTCCCTGCAGCCTCTAACTCCTGGGCTCGAGTGATCCTCCTGCCTCAGCCTCCTGAGTAGCTGGGACTACAGGCATGTGCCACCACACGCAGCTAATTTTTTTTCTTTTCTTTCTTTTTTTTTTTTTTTTTTTGTCTTTTTAGTAGAGACAGGGTTTCACCACGTTGGCCAGACTGGTCTCGAGCTCCTGACCTCAGGTGATCCACCCACTTCAGCCTCCCAAAGTACTGGGATGACAGGTATGAGCCACTGCTTTATTTTATTTTTGTAGAAATGGGGTCTCCTCCTATGTTGTCCAAGCTGGTCTTGAACTCCTGGGCTCAAGTGATCTTCCCACCCTAGCCTCCCAGAGAGCTGAAATTACAGGTGTGAGCCACCACACCCAGCCAACTTCCTGAGACTCTGAATCAGCTGGTGGAAGACAAATTCAACCATAACTAAGCTACATAGCTTGAAAACAAGGTGTTCTTTTTGGTCTGTCCATATTCCAGAGGCCTTGTTTTACCCACCCATGGGGCATCCTCTGATGAGGGAGAGGCACAGCGACCTAATCTGCGATGTAAAATAAATGCTCACTTTCCCTCCGCTGGGCAGGCTGGCCCACAAGAAGAAAGAGAAGAATCCAACCATGAAGGAAAGCTGTGCTTCATTTTACTGCTCCATTTTCAACGTGTTTTTTTGTTTGTTTGTTTTTTTTTTTTTTTTTTTGAGACTAAGTCTCACTCTGTCATCCTGGCTGGAGTGCAGTGATGCAATCTCAGCTCACTGCAACCTCTGTCTCCCAGGTTCAAGCGATTCTCCTGCCTCAGCCTCCCGAGTAGCTGGAACTACAAGTGTGTGCCATCATGCCCGGCTAAGTTTTTATTTTTTTACTTTTTATTTATTATTATTATTATTTTTTGAGACAGAGTTTCACTCTTGTTACCCAGGCTGGAGTGCAATGGTGCGATCTCGGCTCACCGCAACCTCCGCCTCCTGGGTTCAGGCAATTCTCCTGCCTCAGCCTCCTGAGTAGCTGGGATTACAGGCACGTGCCACCATGCCCAGCTAATTTTTTTGTATTTTTAGTAGAGACGGGGTTTCACCATGTTGACCAGAATGGTCTCGATCTCTCAACCTCGTGATCCACCCGCCTCAGCCTCCCAAAGTGCTGGGATTACAGGCTTGAGCCACCGTGCCCGGCCAGTTTTTATTTTTAGTAGAGACATGGTTTCACCATGTTGGCCAGGCTGGTCTCAAACTCCTGACCTCCGGTGAACCACCCACCTTGGCCTCCAAAATGCTAGGATTACAGGTGTGAGCCACTGCACCCTGCCATCCATCCTCTCTCTTTTCATCACTCTCTCTTTTCACGGGTTTACCAAGGTTTATCAGAATAAGAAGCGAATCATCAAAACTGCTTATAGGACTCAGTTATACTCCAGTTGGGTCTAGCAATACTAGACAGGTATACACATTCCCTCTATACAGATATTCACAGGAACCCTGAGAAATCTGGGAGGATAATTTGCCACAGCACGTAGTAGTTATTACTGAAAGCCCCTCAAACATAAGCATTTCTGACTGTATGATACAGAAACAAGCTTTTCAGCATACAAACCATGGTCTATATAAGCCAGGCGTCTGCCTGTCTTATTGATAAAAAGTCTGGTTTTTTCCAAAACATACAGTTTTTCCTCTCCATCCTTCTTACCCTTCTTCCTTTCTTTTTCTGTATTTCTTAGGAAAAAGAAAGTAGTTCTTCATTAGCCAGCTCAAGGGAAAACAGCATACTCATAGGATAGTCCATGAACTAGCTCTGTGAAGCTTTTAAGCAGATGGCTTTTCCAGGACAGGGAGGCAGGTGGCTTGCACTGAACTTGCAGGCAGCCTCTGAAAATAAGAAGAGTATCCCCGGGCCGGGAGCGGTGGCTCAAGCCTGTAATCCCAGCACTTTGGGAGGCCGAGGCGGGTGGATCACGAGGTCAAAAGATCGAGACCATCCCGATCAACATGGTGAAACCCCGTCTCTACTGAAAATACAAAAAATTAGCTGGGCATAGTGGCGTGTGCCTGTAATCCCAGCTACTCAGGAGGCTGAGACAGGAGAATTGCCTGAACCCAGGAGGCGGAGGTTGCAGTGAGCTGAGATCGCGCCATTGCACTCCAGCCTGGGTAACAAGAGCGAAACTCCGTCTCAAAAAAAAAAAAAAAAAAAAAAAAAAAGAAGAGTATCCCCAAGCTGGGAAAAAGTTCTGACTTCCCTCCCCATGTGCTTTTCCCTTTACTTGACTTTTCACAGTCAGCAATCCATTTTCCAATCCTACCACATTCTGAATCAGCATCCCACAATCACCCGAAACAGGACTGACCAGGAGCCCTCCCTGGAAGCACAAAGGGGATGCTCCATGAACTTTCCCTTGAACTTGATTCAAACCTAGACTCTTGGTTCAACTTGTGGTTGGTCAGCCAAGGAACAAGAAGACGTGGGAGAGAACTAGGTACAGACCGGGCTTCTGGGAAAGTCCCCGCTGCCATCTCAGTTTTTCCCGACCCCAATCAGGCTATATCCTGGGAAGAGGCTCTTTTACTACCCCAGAAAACAGAAAACACCAAACTTACGGTGATCTTGCTGGCTTGGTTTAAGGCTTCAACCCAGTCCTTCAGATCTTTCTGGTCATTGGCTTGAAGGAAATATCTCTGAGACAGGGCATTGATAACTACAAAAGCCACGGAAAAGAAGGGAAGACATTCCTGGGTCAAAATACGAGCAACACAAGTCTCCACAAAGCTAAGGTGTTGGAGCGAGATGAGTGAACTCCGCAAAGCAGATTAATAAATCTCCCATGATCCTAAGTCACTTGTCTGGATATTTAGGAAGCCCCAGACCATACCTGCTCACTCTCTTTTCCACCTTTAAAAGCATCCCATCAGCCACAGGAACAACACCTGATGATGTCAACAGCAGCCTCAGTGTGCTGCTCTGCAGTGATGAGGCTCTGCCGTCAACAAGATACAACTGAACCACTGTCTGGCACTGCTAATACATTTACTGTCAAGATGGTATATACAGAATTTTGGACTCGTGCTTGGTCTCCACTGGCACAACTGGCCTGGACTGGGAGTCTTGCTTGTGGTTGGGAAATAGGACAAAGCTTTCCTGAGATCAAATCTGTGACCTTGGCCTCACTCTAAACCTGTTCTTCCCTCTGAGCATTCCATTAAGTCAACAATTTACTTCCATGTTTATTATTATTACATATATATATATATATATATTTTAGATCTGATAACCACAAAATGTGAGACTCATTTCTGAACCTATCTATGAAATTTGCAAGAAATAGAAGAAGGAGAATACCAAAGATGTTTGAACCAATCTGAAGTGGAGAGAGAGAACAGCTCAAGGGAATATTTTATTCTCCCAGCATAAGCTTGAACTGTAGTAGGTGAGCCTCATGGGGAAATGCAGAATTCATCTATTCATTCATCTGACAAATATTTACTGAGCACCTACTATGTGCTAGGAGCCATCTTAAATGCTGAAGATACCACAGTGACAAGGCAGAATAATATCCCTGCCTTTGTGAAGCTTACATTCAGAACCACCCCAGAGAGGCAACAGAAACTATTTGTTAGCATTTGCTCATAGCACTTAGCACAGTTCTGAGAACACAGTAGGAGCCAAGTAATTATTTGATGATGGATTCACTGAATTCACTGACTTCAGGCACCCATGCATGGTGACTCTGCTTCCTACACCATCCCCCAACATATCACTCTTTGGGCAACTGAGACCCTCAACGGAACACTCCTTGCTTTCTCATATCCCCTTCCTGGCACTGCCTTCCACCTCCCTTCTGAGTCCTCCATCTTTTCTGAGCACACCATTTCTCAGCTCTAAAATAAGGATTCGTAGAAACTTCTAGTGGACACTTTGCACCTGCCCTGTGGCACTGAGAAAACTGAAATGCAGATAGACAATTATTAGAAGAAAAAAAGCGGGCCAGGTGCGGTGGCTCAAGCCTGTAATCCCAGCACTTTGGGAGGCCGAGGCGAGTGGATCATGAGGTCAAGAGATCCAGACCATCCTGGTCAACATGGTGAAACCCCGTCTCTACTAAAAATAACAACAACAACAACAACAAAAAATTAGCTGGGCATGGTGGTGCGTGCCAGCATGGTGGTGTAATCCCAGCTACTCAGGAGGGTGAGGCAGGAGAATTGCCTGAACCCAGGAGGCGGAGATTGCGGTGCGCCGAGATCGCGACATTGCACTCCAGCCTGGGTAACAAGCGAAACTCCATCTCAAAAAAAAAAAAAAAGAAAAAAGAAAAGAAAAAAAGTGTTCGAGATGATGGTTATTGAAATGCTTGGATCTGTGTCCTTACCCAAATCTCATGTTCAATTGTCATCCTGGATGTTGGAATTGGGGCCTGGTGGGAGGTAATTGAATCATGGTGGATTATGGGGGCGGTTTTCATGGTTTAACACCATCCCCCATGCTGTCATCTCATGATAGTGAGTTCTTGTGGAATCTGGTTGTTTAAATGTGTGTAGCACCTCCCACTCTCTTCTTGCTTCTCCTCTGGCCCTAGAGAGCCTGAAGATCATGATGCAGAACAGTGAGCCAATTAAAATCGTTTTTTTTTTTTTTTTTTTTTTTGAGATGGAGTTTTACTCTTGCTGCCCAGGCTAGAGTGCAATGGCGAAATTTCAGCTCACTGCAACCTCCACCTGCCTTGGCCTCCCAAACTGCTGGGATTACAGGTGTGAGCCACCGTGCCCGGCCAAACCTCTTCTGTTTTTAAATTACTCAGTCTCAGGTATTTTTTTATAGCAGTTCAAGAACAGACTAATACAGACATGCTAATTACTCTATACATTATGTACCCCATGAATACGTACAATTATTATTTGTCAATTAAAAAAAAAAACTAAAAAAAAAAAAAGAGAGAGAGAGAAAGAAAACAGAAATGTTACTAGCCCCTGGACCTCTGTCCGTACGTTATTAACAACCTTTGCAGCAAGACCAGGGAAAAAATATCACTTGACACCCAGGACTGTCATTGTGATTTAAGTCACTCATACGCACAGGGTATAGTCACATGTGATCACAGGACTGTCTCCACACAAAAGAGGAAGTTGCCATATCAATATTAAAAGAGCCCATCCCCTGGCTCTGTACTTACCAAAGCAAAATGGAGTTTTGGGTTTCTGCTTTGGGGTAGCTATGCTCACCTAAATCAAATAAGAAATAAAAGAAATATGAATATGTTTCTTACAATGTTGAAAATTTCTTATTGTGAAATTTCTCATACATAAAGAGTATATTAAACAGATGTCTATATTTTTTAAAAATAATAATTAAATGGCCGGGCACGGTGGCTCAAGCCTGTAATCCCAGCACTTTGGGAGGCTGAGGCAGGTGGATCACGAGGTCGAGAGATCGAGACCATCCTGGTGAACATGGTGAAACCCCGTCTCTACTAAAAATACAAAACATTAGCTGGGCATGGTGGCATGTGCCTGTAATCCTAGCTACTCAGGAGGCTGAGGCAGGAGAATTGCTTGAACCCAGGAGGCGGAGGTTGCGGTGAGCCGAGATCGTGCCATTGCACTCCAGCCTGGGTAACAAGAGCGAAACTTCGTCTCAAAAAAATAATAATAATAATAATTAAATGAAAACCCTGTACTCATCATCCACATTAAGAAACAGGCATTATCAGTCCTATTTCTTTGAAGCCCTGTGTGCCCCTCCCTGATAGAATCCCCACTCATTAGAGATAACCATTATCTTGATGTCTGTTCATCTTTATAAAGAAGACTTGTTATTTACTTATTTATTTAGAGATAGGGTCTCACTCTGTCACCCAGGCTGGAATACAATGATACAATCACAGCTCACTGCAGCCTCCAACTCCTGGGTTCAAGGGATCCTCCAGTCTCCACCTCCTGGCTATTTTTTTTAAAAATGCTACCATGCCTGGCTAACTTAAAAAAAAAAAATTGCAGAAACGGGTCTTGCTATGTTGCCCAGGATGGTCTCAAACTCCCAGGCTCAAGCAATCCTCCCATCTCAACATCCCAAAGCGTTGGGATTTCAGGCATGAGCCACTGCACCCAGCTCAAAAACATTTTTAAAAGACACTGGGTGCTGACAAAAACCTATCCTGGCCTCATTCACACTAGCAAGATTCCCCTCCTCTTTCAACCACCAACCCTCTCCCTAAATAGTTTTCCAAGCTGAAGGCAGTATTGCTACAGATGCATGGATTCCCATCAGAACACTCAGATAGATGAAGCAGCAAGCCGCTCGCTGTGCTCAGACACATGGAACAGTGGCCTTCACTTCTGCCCTCATGGCCTACCCATGAAAATAAGCACTTCGCCAGGCGCGGTGGCTCAAGCCTGTAATCCCAGCACTTTGGGAGGCCGAGGCGGGTGGATCACGAGGTCAAGAGATCGAGACCATCCTGGTCAACATGGTGAAACCCCGTCTCTACTAAAAAGTGCAAAAAATTAGCTGGGCATGGTGGCACGTGCCTGTAATCCCAGCTACTCAGGAGGCTGAGGCAGGAGAATTGCCTGAGCCCAGGAGGCGGAGGCTGCGGTGAGCCGAGATCGCGCCATTGCACTCCAGCCTGGGTAAGGAGAGTGAAACTCCGTCTCAAAAAAAAAAAAAAAGAAGCACCTTCCGGGTGCCCAGAGAGAGGCTGATGGAATCAGAGAACACGCCTATATATCTCAGGGCAAGAAACAGAGGAAGTATTTCTATACCTCCTGTTGCTGTATTTAATCTTGCTTTGGCAGTCCTACACCTGACAGGTACACTCCTGAGTATCTGCATATGTGAACTCACATCATTCAGGCTCAAACAAAAGAAAAAAAGAAAGGAATTCATATTCCACCACATGCCCACAAAGATTAGGGAAAATCCTTGATGGAGGCTGGGCCTCCGTGGAGAGAGTTTCCACCACTGGGCCTCTGAAGAGGCAGCCACCTTCCCATGGTTCCTAGGCTGGGAACTATTAACATAATGTTACAGTCCTCCCCTGGATACCATTCTCTCCATCCCTTTGCAGCCAAGGGTATTCTTTGACATCTCCTCACCTACTGGCTGCAGGAGTGGTTCCCACTTTATTCTGTTTTTGGGTGTTTCAGGTTTTTCTTTCTTTTTTTCGAGATAAAGAGTTTGGCTTTTATTGCCTAGGCTGTTCAAGCAATTCTCCTGCCTCGGCCTCCCAAGCAACTGGGAATACAGGCACCTGCCATCACGCTCAGCTAATTTTTTCTATTTTTAGTAGAGACAGGATTTCATCACGTTGGCCAAGCTGGTCTTGAACTCCTGACCTCAGGTGATCCACCTGCCTCAGCCTCCCAAAGTGCTGGGATTACAGGTGTGAGCCACCACACCCAGTGGTTTTTCTTTCTTTGATACAGGGTCTCACTGTTACCCAGGCTGGAGTGCAATGGTGCGATCTCAGCTCACTGCAACCTCCGCCTCCTGAGTTCACCCAGGCTGGAGTGCAGTGGCACAATCACAGCTCACTGTAGCCTTGACTTCTTGTGCTCAAGTGATCCTTTCACCTCAGCCTCCTGAGTAGCTAGACTACAGGCATGTGCCATCACACTCAGCTAATTCTTCTAGTATTGTAGAAATGGGGTCTAGCTCTGTTAACAGGACTGTTCTCAACCTCCTGGCCTCAAGTGATCCTCCTGCCTCAGCCTCGCAAAGTGCTGAAATTATAGGCATGAACCACTGGAACTGGCTGGTCCCTACTCTGATAGGCAGCCTGTTAGAAGCCAGGTGCCAAAGAAGAAACCTTGAGTTGAAATTAAAGTCTCTTCCTGGCTGACGGTGGCTAGGGTCTAACAATGACTGACCCAACAGTCTGTCTAAGTTCTTACTCTTGGCTCTAAGTTCTTGCTATACACCCACCCAGATTCCTTAACCAAAATTAATATTGCCCCAAATAAGTAGGAACTGAGGTAGCACCTTATAAAAGATCAAAAGAAAGTCAGGTAGTCAGAGACAGAGAGTCTCAAATGACAGGTGTCCCAGCGGAGTGACCTCCATTTCCTGTTCTATCAAATAAAGGATCATAATATTGTGTTTTCATAGGGTTATCATGAGGGTCAAATATGATAGTGCAGGCTGGGCGGGGTGGCTGAGGCCTATAATCCCAATCCCTTGGGAGGCCGAAGTGGGTGGATCACAAGGTCAGAAGTTCAAGACCAACCTGGCCAACATGGTGAAAACCTGTGTGTATCAAAAATACAAATAATTAGCCAGGGATGGTGGTGCATGCCTGTAGTCCCAGCTACTCGGGAGGCTGAGGCAGGATAATTGCTTGTACCTGGGAGGCGGAGGTTGCAGTGAGCCAAAATCGCACCACTGCAACTGGACTCCAGCCTGGTGACAGAGTGAGACTCCATCTCAAAAACAAAAAAAAAAGATAATGCAGGTAAGACAGCCATTCCTCCACACAGAATCTGCTCACCCCAGGAGGGATTAGTTATGGCTTTTGATACCTCATTTCCTTTAAAGCCTCACGCCACACATCAACATAGGCAATGCCCTGCCTGGAACTATGGGCAAAATGCTGAGGGCCCGTGAGTTTCTCTGGGCCTGCAAAACTGCATGAAACCTGAAAAACATTGTCCGGTCTCCTACATACAAAGCGAAGATGCCATATCTAATGTTAATAAATATTTATGGCCGGGCGTGGTGGCTCATGCCTGTAATCCAAGCACTTTGGAGGCCAAGGCAGGCAGATCACCTGAGGTCGGGAGTTCAAGACCAGCCTGACCAACATGGTGAAACCCCATCTTTATAATAAATAAATAAATAAATAAATAAATATTTAACTAAATGCCTATATAACATTATATCAACTTCCCTGATGTGTACTTAAATGTGTATGAGATGTTACATCAAGTCAACATCACTAATTTTTCAATGAAACATTAAAAATTTTTTCATTTGAAAATAATTGGTACCAGGCCAGGCACAGTGGCTCATGCCTGTAATCTCAGCACTTTGTGAGGCCAAGGTGGGTGGATCACTTGAAGTCAGGTGTTCGAGACTAGCCTGACCAGCATGGTAAAACCCCATCTCTACTAAAAATATAAAATTAACTGGGTATGGTGGTGCATGCCTGTAATCCCAGCTACTTGGAAGGCTGAGACAGGAGAATCGCTTGAACTCGGGAGGTGGAGGTTGCCGTGAGGCAAGATCCTACCATTGCACTCTAGTCTGGGTGACAAGCGAGACTCTGTATCAAAAAAAAAAAAAGATATAAATTTCCTTAGTTCACTAGAATCCTTTTGTGTGTGTGCAAGATGATTGCAAAGAAATTAGAGCCAGTTACAAATTTGATGAGTTACTCAGAGCCAAATCATTCCAAAAGTAAAATGATTAAAATCCTTTCGAATTATTTTATAGCAAAACAATTATATTTAATAAGGGATGTGGGTGCATTTTAAGATGTGAGGTGAAAGCCATAGAGCCTAAGAAAGACCTTAAAAAAATGAAGATTTGAGCAAAGGTAAACTCACTTATCCCAAGTTCAGACACAGATCATCCAAATTCAGTTGTGTCTTAACTCACAGGTAAGAGGACGCTGGTGGGTCCATAATGCAATGGTCCGGACCCCCAGGCATCTTGCTTCCTGGGTTTCTGACCCACCCCGCCAACATCAATCTGGACCATCACGTGGGCCTCTGTCCTGGTTACACCTGAGTGTTGACCTGTCAGTAACTCATTGCCTTGCTTTGGCCCTCAGCGTCCACACTCCCGAGGTCCTCCTGTGCATAACTCCTGGATGTCCTGCCCCTGATGTCTGCATAATCCTGACCACAGCAGAGCTGTCTTTGGCCATCGCAGCCCTCAGAACCCACCTATCTCATGCCTCCCCTTCTACTTCCAGCTTTTATTTATTTATTTATTCATTTATTTTTGAGTCAGAGTCTTGCTCTGTCACCCAGGCTGGAGTGCAATGGTGCGATCTCGGCTCACTGCAACCTCCGCCTCCTGGGTTCAAGCGATTCTCCTGCCTTAGCTTCCCAAGTAGCTGGCATTACAGGAACACACCATCATACCTGGCTAATTTTTTACATTTTTAGTAGAGATGGGTTTTTGCTATGTTGGCTAGCTGATCTCAAACTCCTGACCTCAGGTGATCCACCCACCTCGGCCTTTTAAAGTGCTGGGATTATGGGCATGAGAGCCACCACAATTGGCCTTTGTTTTTTGTTTGTTTGTTTGTTTGTTTTGTTTTGTTTTTAAAGAGATGAGATCTGCCTCTGTCACTCAGGCCAGAGTGCAGAGGCACAATCATGGCTCACTCAGCCTCAAACTCCTGGGCTTCAGTGATCCTCCCAATTCAGCCTCCCAAGTAGCTGGGACTATAGGCAATCACCACCATGCCCAGCTAATTTTTTTTTAAATTTTTTTTGTAGAGTCAGGGTCTCACTATGTTACCGAAACTGGTCTTGAACTCCTAGCTTCAAGTTATCTTCCCACCTCGGCCTCCCAAAGTGTTGGGATTACAGGCATGAGCCACTGTGCCCAGCCTACTTCCAGCTTTAGAATGACTTTGAAAAGCTGGGAACTCCAACACCCTTTCTGGCTTATTAGGAGAATTGTCTTTTCTCTGAAAAACTCCTATTTGTCACTGACTAGAGAGAGCACCCCGGGTAGACAGTTTTCACTGTTTGGATAACAAATGCTCATTCTGACCACAACTGATTAGCCAGCCTGTGCTGTGAGAATGCTACCCATGTGCTTATTATGGGAACTGGAGCCTTCAAAGAGACGGTCTGGCTTTGTGTTTGTTTTCCTCTGTTTATTCAGTTTTGGTCAGGAGGCATGTGTGAGTGCATGCGTGTACAACTATCACTGGCCTCATGCCTAATGGCTTACCACGGAAGGGCAATTCGGCAAACCAACTCACTGCTGAATTAACAGGATTGGTTCTGGTTCTGCCCTGACTGGCTCGCTGCAAGGGTAAGACCCTCAATGTCTCTGATCAGCTTCATAATAGGTAAAGCCAGAGCAAAAACACTATTCCCCTTTGCCACAGAGTGGCAAAAGAGGACAATGCTGAGTCCCACGGAAAGAAAGGCCAAGGTGGGGCCAGGCACGGTGGCTCCCACCTGTCATCCCAGCACTTTGTGAGGCCGAGGCGGGTGGATCACCTGAGGTCAGGAGTTCAAGACCAGCCTGGCCAACATGGTGAAACCCCATCTCTATTAAAGATACAAAAACTAACCAGGTGTGGTGGCAGGCACCTGTAATCCAAGCTACTCAAGAGGCTAAGGCCAGACAATCGCTTGAACCCAGGAGGCAGAGATTGCAGTAGCCAAGATCACACCACTGCATTATAGCCTAGACGAGACTCCTATCTCAATTTTTTTTTTTTTAAAGGCTCAGGAGGAAATCTAACTTATCATGGAGACGTGGTGGCTTCGCCTCTCCCTGACATTCGGTGACTATGAAGGCGGGACTCCTGCCCGCTAGGAGGAATAATCCTACTCTACCCCCACCCAACCAGGGATCATGCCAGGTGGCTACGGCCTCCCTCAAACATCGTGAAGAAACAGATGATCCTCATGAAGAGGCGTGGCTGCAGGGGGGGGTGAGGTCACCCAACTGACTCCAATGAGGCACCAAGGCGCAGCCATCTGCACAGCTGAGGCGGCCACAGCTGGGGCACTGCACAGCAGTGGTTGACTGTGGGTCCTGTGAACACCCCAGCAGCAAGCTGAGGTCAGGGATGTGAGCAGGGAGTGGGCACAGGTCCTCTGTAGAGTGACGCAGACGGGGCTGCTCCATAGCTCAACAGACTCTCAGGAACTCGCGCTTATCAGCTCAAACACAGACCACAGGAGCTGCAAGCTCGTCAGCGGCCAGGCACAGCTAGGGCCAGCCCCACCCTGTCTGCCCTTGGCCGGAAGAGGAGCTGGGGCCCCTCTGGCAGAAGCAGCGACCGCAAAACAAGGTCTCCTAGCTCTGCTGCAGCCTCTGCCACAGTGTCTGGGGTGACCTTGCCCCCTGAGGTGGCATCAGGAGCAGAGGAATAGCAGTCACCTACACGGGATGGGGGTCTCTGGCCAAGCTTCAGGAGGTCAGTGGGCTCCCTGGAATTATAGGTAAAAGCAGGGTGTGTCCCTATACCTATGCATTTACACCTGGAGAAGGCGTGCTTTTTATCAGCCTCCCCCGCAACACAATCCACAACCCCTGACAAGTTCTTTCTGAGAGGTGACCGAAAGCAAGGCCCTGACACCTGGGACACAACTGGGGGTGGGACAATGGGGTTGGCTGTGCAGTAGGGGGTGGTTGAGGGTGGTGGTCATAGGGCAGCTTTAATTATTTTCTAGTTTGCTAAGAGCTGGTTCTGTTGCCATAGATGCTCTAGATGACATCCAATCGTCACTTTCATCTCTGTCTCTCTCTGGCCAGAGGCCACAGGCCCGCCCTCATCTTCCAGACACCGGCCCTCAGCAGACAGCAGAGAAACACACACCCCGAGCAGAGAGCCCACCTACAGCCCTCTGGCCAGGCCACCTGACACCATGGCAAGAGCTATCCTCCAGGAGAAAATACCTAAGGGTTAACAAGAAATGACCTGGAATGCAGAGCTGGAGCCCAGCGTCTCAGTGGCTACGTTTCTTTCTGGGAAAATCCCCTGCTTTCTGGCAGGGGGTCAGGCAGGAGTTAAAGGCTCTGGGCTCTGTGTAACCCGACCCAGTGGCAGCTGCGGGTTTTGCAAAATGCCCACCCAGCCCTGCCTTTCTCAGGATGGGGCTAAACAGCAGGTCACCCTTTCCAAACGAGGCAGCCTCCAAGGCTGAGAACTCTAAAACCCTCATCTGAGCTGCATTTATAAATCATGATTCAGCAAGAGATTGAATTCACTCCTCCCCAACCAAAAAAAAAAAAAGTCTTCCCAAACCCTCTCACACAGGAGAGGGTTTCATTTTTCATTTATTACTGCGAGGTTCTCTGCTCCTCTGCTCTAAATTCTCCGTCTCCGACCCTCCTGGAGAAATGACCTCAGGAGCTCTCAGCAAGCTGAGGACAAGTCAGGAAGGGCGGGCAGGCCTGGGCCTCTGGCTGCTCTGGCCGGGGGAGGCGGCCACATTTCTCACCGCAAGGCAAGCACAAATTGCCGGCAGCTGTGCTAACAAGGCTGGACTTGAAAGGGCCCTTCCCCCAGCCCTGAGGTCATTCTCTCCCTCTTTAATCTGTCCTGACGCTGCCCTGCATCTTGTGCCTTGGTACCAGGCCGTGTCTGCCGGACTCTGCCTGCACACCACAGGCACAGGGACGCGCCACCCCTCCAGCCAAGGGTGGCCTCTCCTCCAGAGGCCCCCAGTCCCCTCCAGGTTCATCTTCTGATCAGCCAGGGTGCAAGGCTCCCAAAGCTTGTTACAAGATGGAGCTGGAGCCGGTGGACCCTTGGCTCGGGGCCCCCAGGCCTCAAGTCCCTGAGGATGACAGGGGATGGCAAGGCAGAAGGGGCCCCCAAGAGGCCTGCAGTGAAGGGGTGTGGGGAGCGCAGGGCTTCCGAAACCTCAGTGCTGGCCGGCTGCCACCTGGCTCTGCTCACTGTACAAAGAGTTCCTCTTTCTGGGGAGGCTCTAAATCTCCCAGCCTTTTTATCATCGCTGCATCACGGGTCAGCAGTGGTGCCTGCTCCAGGGAGGGGCTGCTAATAGAAGCTGAATTCAGCAGTGACACGTGGGCACTGTTAACCAGCCCCCACCCCAGCTCTCAGCACAAGAGAGGGGCTGCTCCAGCCCCTTCTATACAAACGGGACTGGGGGAGCCTGGCAGCCACCTGCCCTAGTCTCCAGTGGTGATCTGGCTGCTGAATGTCCTCCTGGCAAGCTGAGTGGCTTCTCCGGCCTTCTTAGCCTTCCCTCCACAGTGATCCTGCCCAGGTGAATGATGAAAGTCCAGCGAAGCCCCAGCACTTTCTGAGTTACTTCTGTTTGACTGTACCCTTTGAGAGAATCCTCCACAGTTGCTGGATTTTTGGTGATTGTTTTTGTGTTCCCTTTCATCCCGATTAGAAAAAAGAAAAGGTCACGGGTCATTTCTGACCCCTACCCCAGCTCCACCACCACATAACACGTCCTGTGCAGGAGCTGGGAGTATTAAGGATTGATGTGTTCAAGGACGAAGAGGCGGCAGGCCCACCCTCCAGCAACTTGCTAAGCACATACCTCTCCAGCCACCCATCAGCAGCTAAGCTTCCACAGGCAGTGTGTGGGGTCGGGGAGCATTTCAGCACCACGCAACGTCCCAAAATACTAATGCCCAAAGGACTGGACACTTCCCCTTGCTTAGAAACCAGATCGACTTACAGAGCATGAATTCCCAGAGTTCCAGGTCAATGTTACCTTCGAGATGTAGGTCAGCTGCAAAGCTCCAACAGCTCCTGCCCCGACTGCCAGATTCTGAAAGACACATAGTTTTCATTTTAAGAAGGCTGTAGAAACAGCACAGGAGACAGAAGACCAAGATTCCAGCTCTGTTAATGCCACTTTCCTGGCAACCTTGAGCAAGTTACTCAACCATTCTTTAACTTGCATTCCTCACCTGTGATGATAATTTCTCGATAATGATTCAGGATTCCTGATGGAAATCTTTGACATTAACATTATCCCCAAGCCTTATCTATTACAGAGAAATATTCTAGTACAATGGTAAAAGTGTATGCTCACGCTGGGCATAGTGGCTCATGCCTATAATCCCAGCACTTTGGAAGGCCAAGATGGGAGGATCACTTGAGGCCAGGAGTTTGAGGCCAGTCTGGATAACGTATCAAAAAAATTTTTAATTAGCTGGGCGTGATGCCTCACACTTGCAGTCCCAGCTCCATGGAAGGCTGAAGTGGGAGGACTGCTGGAGTCCAGGAGGTGGAGGCTGCAGTAAGCCCTGTTAGTGCCACTGTACAACAGAGCAAGACCTTCTTTAAAAAAAAAAAAAAAAAAGCATATGCTCCACTGTGAACAAGTTCCTTAACCACCAAGCCTCAGCTTTTCCTTCTGTGAAACAGGGATAATAGTATCTGCCTCATAAGAAAGCTGTAAAAATGAGTTAATACATTTAAGAAGGCCAGGCACAGTGGCTCACATCTATAATCCCAGCACTTTGGGAGGCTAAGGCAGGCAGATCGCCTGAGGTCAGGAGTTCCAGACCAGGCTGGGCAACATGGTGAAACTCCATCTCTACTAAAAACATAAAAATTAGCCGGACATGTGGCACGCACTTATAGCCCCAGCTACTCGCAAAGCTGAGGCAGGAGAAGTGCTTGAACCTGGGAGGTAGAGGTTGCAGTGAGCTGAGATCTCGCCACTGCACTCCAGTCTGGGTGACAGAATGAGTCTCCATCCCCCCAAAATAAAAAAATAAATGAATACATTTAAGAGCACTTGGAATTGTCCCTGGCATGTAGAAGACTCTCAGCAAGTGTGAGCTCTTATAGTTTTTGCATGTGCCCTGACATCTCACTGACTCTGTCCTGTTTTATGCCAATGCAACATTTTTCATAATACATAGGATTCAAACTCACACAGTATAGAAATAATATATATATAATATATATGTTATAGATCGAAAACATATATATATTATATATATAATATATATATATAACAGGCCTACTCATAACAGCCCTATGAAATGGGCTGAACATATATATAATATATAACATATATATAATATATATTATATACTATATATGTTATATACTATATATTATAGTGTGTTATATAATATATATTGTATATGTTATGTATTATATATAACATATATAATATATATTGTATATGTTATGTATTATATATAACATATATAATATATAATATATGAACATATATATTATATATAACATATATATTATATATATGTTCAGCCCATTTCATAGGGCTGTTATGAGTAGCAAAGGGAAGATGTCTGTACAGTATAAAACACAGTGAATGCACTATCACCACAGCAGGAGACTCACAGGCACCAGGTCTGGCAATGAGCCCCACCCTGGCACACGCTCTCTGGCTTTCTAATGTCCCCATTGGCAGGGATGAAGGAGCAAAAAGCCAGGGCAGTCCCACGCCAGAGTCAGGGTTAAGGTTATAAATCACATCTGTGGGGCTTCGAATGCACACCATTATCCTAGCAATCTGAGACTCGGTTCATAGCTCTTGCTGACCTCTTAAACTGCTGCCAAAAGCCTTCAAGAAAAATCTCTGAAGCCCCCATTACCCAGGGTCCTCTCAAAACAATAAAAGGAGGTGAATCTTGGATAAAGGGAATTTAGTAAATTTACCTAAGAATTCTCAGTGAAATGACCTATCCTATCAGGAGACAGCCTTAAGAAATGTCTCAGGTGTGCCAGGAGCGGTGGCTCATGCTTGCAATCCCAGCACTTTGGGAAGCCAAGGCAGGTGGATCACTAGGTCAGGAGTTCGAGACCAGTCTGGCCAGCATGGTGAAACCCCATCTCTACTAAAAATACAAAAATTAGCCAGGCATGGTGGTGCACTCCTGTAGTCCCAGCTACTTGGGAGGCTGAGGCAGGAGAATCACTTGAACTCGGGAGGTGGACGGAGGTTGCAGTGAGCCAAGATTGCACCACTGCACTTCAGCCTGGGCAACAGAGTGAGACTCCATCTCAAAAAAAAAAAAAAAAAAAAAGAGAGAGAGAGAAAGAAAGAAATGTCTCAGGTGGACCAGGTATGGTGGTTCACACCTGTAATCTCAGCACTTTGGGAGGCTGAGGTGGGAGGATTGCTTGAGTCCAGCAATTTGAGACCACCCTAGTCAACATAGTGAAACCCCATCTCTATAAAAACATTATATATTTCTTTTTCTTTTTTTTTCTTTTCTGTAAATGTCTCCTCAGGTAGTAGGAAAGAGTCCTTCTAACCCCTAGTTATCTAAATTAACACACATTATTTGAAGCAAATTCAAGCAAGAAAATGGATGGGGATAATATTACCAAAAAAAAGTATTCGCAGAACCCGAGAATCTTAGGGCGGAGGACCTAGAAAAGACTCTGCACTTCTTGTTCTTCCCTTTGCGAATGAGGCAGTAAGCTAAGAGCTGCCTCTCCCAGCCAGATTCACATGGGAACTGTGGAGAGTCTGATTTACGCGTCTATTTACACACTTTTTCAACCACATAGAGACTGCTTTTCAGGGGTTGGTTGGTTTGTGTTTAGGAAACCTCTTATTGGGTAGGGAGACAGGCCTTGTAGCCCCTAAATCAGAATCCACATAGGAGCCCCGGCTCCCAAAAGGCATGAGTGACAGACATTGCCCTGGAGAGGACTGAGAACCGCTCTGGGCAAAGACGCCGCGCTGCCCAACGTCGGACTTCCAGAGGGAGACCCACAGGCTCCAGGGACATAGGAGCCGCAGGACTCTGCCGAGGACTAAGCACCTGCCACCACCCCGACCCCAATTTGCAGTTTAGAAGAGTGGCTCATGGGTGAGGGGATTTGTCCAAGGTCACATAATTGGTGGCAGAGCCTAAACCAAAGCTGACTTTCAACTGCCAGTGGCCTGGAAGTGGCATGGGGTAATTTGAAAAGCCTGAGCTGTTGGAATTCTAGTTGTGACATTAACGCTCTATAACCACAGGCAAGTCTCTGTACCTATAAAATGGAGATGATAAACCATGTTTTGTAGGGCGATGGGGAGAATGCCATGGAAAGACACAAGACAGCCCAGCCTACTGGAGTCCCCATTCCCCTCCCTCAGCGCTAATTACAAGACGCAAACGCCGAGTCTCAGAGCTGCTGCTGCACCACACACTCTCCTTACCCCAAAACCGCAGCCCAGCGGCCTCCAGAGTCCCAGCCTGACTTATGAGTGACGAAGTGGGATTTGGGGAACTGTTCGGACGCTAACCCATATGGCACAACAACTATGAGCTGATTGGGTTTCAACGACCTCATCCCCTCTGCCCCTCGAGGGCTGCTCCACCCTCTGTCCCAGCCGCCCTGGCAGCCCTCCCTGTTCAGAGAGAAGGACGCAGCACCCAGGACCCCAAGGGTGAGGGCGGGGGTCCTCACCCCTTCACCCACACTCCACCCACAGTCTGTTCCTAGGCTCAACTGTACCACCTCTCCGCCGGGAGAAGCCAGGAAAATATGACTCGTGTCTGATGCTGCCTCCCTCCCACCTTCCTCCTCACCCAGGGGAAATGGGAGACACGGGAGAAAACAGCCCCAGGATCCCTGAGGCTGGATCCAAATTAATGCTCAGTGTCCACTCCAGGGACTGGACCTAGAAGATGGACAGTGACGGCTGAGTGCCAGGTGACACATCAGCAGCCCCTGGCAGGTGCTTCCTGATCAAGGAAAACAGGGAGGGCCTGCCTGAGCTGAGAGCCGGCAGCCAGTGTCAGGGCAGGAAGGCCAAGAAACGGCACCTATGGAGGGGCAGGGCATCAGAGCTGGGGAAGGGAGCCCACTCAAGCTGTCTCCCTGTTCCCTGGCCACAGATCAGACTCCTTTAGGAAAAGGACAAACTCAGGACTCTCCTCTCCAAGTGCTTCTCCAACCGACTCCAGCCTGCAGTGACCTCCCCTCTCTCTGGATTCAGGCACACAAATCCTTCTACCACTTTGGCACGCACCAGAATCTCCTGGAGAGCTTGTTTTTAAAACCCCAAGAATGGCCGGTTGCAGTGGTGCACACCTGTAATCCCAGCACTTTTGGAGGCTGAGGTGGGAGGATCGCTTGAGGCCAAGGGTTCAAGACCAGCCTGGGCAACATAGCAAGACTCTCTCTCTACAGAAAATAAAATAAAGAAATTAGCTGGGTGTGGTGGTGGTGCATTTGTAGTCTCAGGTATGTGGGAGGCTGAGGTGGGAAGGATTACTTGAGGCCAGGAGTTCGAGGCTGCAGTGAGCTATGATTGTGTCACTGCACTCGAGCCTGAATAAAACAGTGAGACCCTGACTCTATGAAAAAGAAAAAAGAGATTAAAAAAAAAAAAAAAAAAAAAAAAAAACAGCCCACACTCAAGCTTCCCCCACAGAACACTGAATGAGAGTTAAACGGAATGTGGTCAAAACATGTACATTTTTAAATGCTCCCAGGCGATCCCTAAATAGGTCCAAGTTTAAGAACAGCTGGTCAGCAGGACAAAACTCTAGCCTTGGACTCTGTACTTGGAGTATGTTTTTCTGAGAGCTTAGACAAGCCCACCAGGTTCATAAAGCACTGGAAGATCAACGCGGCTCTGCTCACCACTGGCAAACAGCGTTTCCCTGTGACATCTACCAGGTTCCAACTTGGAGGTCACTTCAGTTTGCAGTTCCCATGACCTAGGCAAGGCCTCTGTGGGACAGGAATCAGGATCGGGTAGAAGAGGCAGGAAAGGACTGAACCCCATTGACATGCGGGTCAAGAGTGTAGGGGCAGAGTTGAGGCAAGGGCCACAGGGAG